TCCGCGTGCCCGTGAACGGTGTGAGCACGCGCCTTTACATCAACACACAACACGTGTTGCTTTCATTTATTATGGTCTGTTTCTGCTCCGGGACATCTCAGAAGGCCGTAAATATTCTAATACACTCGCCTTTTTTTTTTGTTTCTGACTCTAAAAAGCAAAAACTGGCCTTTTAACGGGGGCGCGCACGGGGGGAGGAGCGGCTGTGCGCGCCCCCGTGGCTGGGCGCGCGTGAACTACGTGCGTGAACTACGTGCTGGACGTGTCCTCCGCGTGGAGGCGCGCGGCACGTGCACGTGCACGCGCGGTGGCACCCTCCGTAAATGAAACCCGACTCTGAGACAAACCTGAAGCAAAGCCTCATTATTAAGTCTTCCACGTGCACGTAACGCACGGAAATGTGCTCCTACTGACCTTTGACCCCTTCTGAGGTCTTTTCTGTGTAGTTTGTGTTTTGTTTTGGGTCCTTTGGGAAGAATCTGAGACTTTTCCAAAGCTCAAACTAACGCGGTTAGAGTGAAAAAGAGCTCCTGGATGCGTTTATTCAGACATAAATCAGTATTTTCTGTGCAATATGAGGACAAATCCACATGCATGGTGCACAAAAAGTTAGATTTTTTGTCTGATTTGGGAGATTCTGGACTTTTCTCTTTTCAATTGTTCATTTGTACATTCAGATCTATATTTTTAAAGTTTGCTCATTTGTACATTGGGATCTATATTTTTAAAGATTGTATTTTTCAGTTTGATCATTTCTGTCCTATATTTTTAATTTCTACATTTTATTTCTTGCTTCTCATAGAAGTGTTGTGTTGTGCACCTAACAACAAAGGCAAATTCCTTGTAAGTCTAAAAACCTACTTGGCAATAAACCTTATTCTGATTCTGATTCTGATTCTGATTTTAGGACTCCTGACTGACGTTTCATTTAGAGATCAAACTTGTTTTTGTTCGCCTGTTTAGCACCATTTGAAAAGCCGTCAAACCGTGATTGTCTGCTTGTGTTTGGGCTTTTCCTCCTCCCTGGGAGCTCCTCTTACAGAAGGAGGAGGATTGTTTTCCTGCTTTCTCTCGCCGTTCCAGCTGGTTCAGAGTCAAACTCTCCGCTCTGACCAGCAGGGGGCGCAGCGTCCTCCTGAAACCGGAAGTGGCCGCGCTCACGTACCAGGGTCCGTTCGAAAAACGGACGAAATAAGAAATTCAACGCATCGGCGGAGCTCCCTGAGCTGGATCTCAGCTTCCGGGTTGATGGTTGTTTGTGGACCGGTGTTCCTCGGATTACGGCATGTTTTTTTTGTTTTTTTGAGGGGGTGGGGGTCTGGTTTGATGAGTCTAAGCAGAAGCCTTAAAGGGGACGGAGCAGGTTTGAGGCTAGCAGGGGATTGTCAGCCTGGTGAAACATTCACCACACGGCTGCAGAGAGCCTTAGGACATGCAACCAGAATACCCCCCCATACACACATACACCCCCCCCCCAAGTTTAACCTCCTGAGATCCAAAAGCTTCTGTCTGGTTTCTGGTTCCAGATCTGTGGATCAGGAGAAGCTGATCAGTTCAATAACTAGACTTTGTCCTGGTTCAGGTAGTTTTTCTTCGTAGAGGCTCAGTGGGTTTATCTTTAGATTTAAAATGTATGTTTATAGATTTAATTACATGTTTTTGCTATTTGGTTCTGAGGGTCCAAATTATTTATTTACAACATTTTATTTCCACAATCAGAACAGTAACAGTACAGCAAAACAGTAAAAAAGCAGGAAAAGCTGAGATTTCTGAGCTCTTTGAACACAACAATGATTTCCCTTCATCTAAAGACCTAAAAAGTTAATTTTTCAATTATATATCTCCATCAAAATACCTAAAAAGTTCATTTTTCAATTATATTTCTTCATCTAAAGACCCAAAAGGTTTATTTCTCTGTGATTTTCTACAGAATTCCCCTCTCAGATGTTCCTCCATTTAAATGGATCCCACACAGTATCCTCTCCTTTCTCAGGTCACATGGGACAGCAGCCCTGCTCCCATTGGCCCGTTTGGATCAAACGTCTAAAAGCATTTTCCTTCAGATTTAAACAGTAGTGTCTGATAGCGTCTGCTATGAGGCCCAGAGGTCAAAGGTCACAGAAAAGAGAAGGATCCTGGTACAGAGGCAGAACGGGAAACTAGGAGGGGAAAGAAAACATTTGTCTAACAATAAATAGATGAATTAGGAGCGATTTTAGGAGAGTTGGGGGGCTCCCATGATGCACCTCTCCTCCCTCTGCTGATTGGCTCAGATCAAACCTAAACAAGATTTTTGGCCTCTTTTTTAACAGAACTGAAGTTTGCTGAGCGTCTTTGGTGGGTTTGTTTAGGCCATAGGCTGAAGCTCAAAATGTGGCTAGAAATAGGATTTCGCTCCACTATCCTGGGGACTACTTTTCGATAGCACTTTTCCAATCTTGAATATGTACTGGAGCTGGGAAAAAAAGTTCTCCATGGGATTCCTGCCAGTATTTGAGAAAATGGGTGCCAAAGGTGGCAGTTTACCCAAAAAAGTGACGATTTTGGGTCTTCTACCATTTTCAAACCCTTGTAACTTTTTTTATTATTAAGCCGATCGTACTCAAATTTTTTATTCCCACAGACATTCACACTTACTCAGAGCT